CAAATATAAATATAAATATAAATATATATATATATGTAAATGTTATTTTTTCCTAATTAAAATTATTTTATATAGTTTTGAAATATATAAAAAAAGAATTAGCCATCTGCGCAATCGCGCGGGAAATATCTAGTGATAACTAAATCGACTGTAAAAATAAGAAAACCAATTAGATATAACATAACTAAAATCATCTGCTAAAGTACTATAATATTACTAATATAAATTATGCATATAAATTATAAATTAACTTACAATTAAAGTAAATAGCAATCAAATTTTATAGTATATTTATTTTATAAATATTTATACCCGTGCATGAGTACGGGAAAATCACCTAGTAAGATAATAAATAATGCCTTCTTCGGTGCCCTCCAAGTTTCTCCTCCTTTCGTTGACTCCTTATCATTCTGGTTTGTCTTCTCATCGTTGTTGATGTGAAGGATCATTTACTCTCATGGTAATAACTTTTGAAACTTGGTTGTTGTGCAGTTACTATGAGCTCTGTTTTGTGGTAAGTTGGATTTTAAAGATGCTGACTTTGAGATCTCGTGAGTGACACGCAATGCTCTAATGGCTGGCTCGAAGCATTCCTCGCATGCTGGATCTGATAAATCTCAGGAGTCTGATGGAGAGATGAAACTGGTTAGTTATATAAACCAAACTGTGAATGATGAATCAGCTTTGGAGTCTTTGACTCGACAAGGATGATGAGAACCTTACTTCTACTGTAAGTATATGTTAGCTCAATAATTAAAACATCTTTTCGTGTTCTCAGATTTTATCTGCCTCTGGTCTTGCCATCTGGTTCTTTGTTTGTGTGTTTGGTTTTTTTTTTTTTTTTGTAGCAGTATCAGCTGGTGGTCTTCATTATGTTCTATATGTGGTTTACTAGTTCGGTTGACTAGTTGTGTAACATTTCTTGGCTTGAAAGGTTTTTCCCATATGTGGTTTACTAGTTCGGTAGTGTGTTCTTGAAACAAACGAAACCATGTCTGCGAGAGTCTGCATATGTTATTCAGACAAGGAGAGGACCATTTGATTAAAAAGATTGTCTACAAGAAGAGGCTGTGTATTCAGTCTTCCCTGGTTGTCTTCTCCTTCTCACCAGTTTGTTTAATTGTCAACAGACACCAGTATTCAGTCTTCCCTGGTTGTCTTCTCCTTCTCACCATGGCTTGTCACTCAAGAAGTTGACTGTTTCATGGGCGGACGACCTCTATGATGATCCTTCTCCCTCCATAGCTTCTCACACAAGAAACAAGAAGCAGCAATCCAAGAGCAAAGACAGCCATAGGAAGACTGGAAAGAAGTGACAGAAGAACAAAGACAGCTCTTCCTCTCGTAGTGGCAAGGACAAGAAGCAAGTTTCTCGCAAACACAGTCGAGAGCAGTTTGATTGGGTAACTCAGATGCCCATAGTTGCAGCGTCTTCATGAATAGCATCGCCTTCTAATAACCAAGCACATCTGTGAGCTTGGATCCCTCTTTCTCTAATAAACAATCAAATCAGTGTGTGTTTTCGGTTGTGTTTTTAAACAGCTTTTCTTATGAGTAATGGTTGGTTGATCCTAAACACTATTTGTAAAGCTTTTGTTTAAATTTATTGCATGTGAGGAGAAACTCAGTGTTACATTGTTATTGAACTGCCTTTACTTGAAGCAGAATGAGTTCATAAATTGAGATCATAACACTTTGACCCCAAAAAAAATATTGATAACACAACAATAGAACAATGAAATTGTGCCTCTTTGTCTCAGGAGGTATACTCTGCATTGATCTTGACATAGTCATAGCTAAGATCACACCCCCACGCCTTTCCAGTGGCTGCACCTTCACCTACTGATAAATCAATTATAACAGTTCCATGAACCTCGCCAGCTTTCTTAAGGTAGTCACTGGCTCCATCCCTGTGTACATATAACATTTGTGTAAGAACTTCGTTTTGCCATTGAGAGACAAATAGAGTTATAAGATAGAAACCTGTCAAAGGGAAGAGGTTGACCACTCTCCATGAGTGAGAACTCGCCGAGTGATATCCTAAGCTTATCCATCTGAAAAGGAACGCCTGCATAGCCAGCAGCTGCAGCTATGCGTCCCCAGTTAGGGTCTCTCCCATAAACAGCTGCCTGTCACAACCAGCAATGGTAAACGTTTACTATTAGCTAGAAACATTAAGCATGATCACTTTCCATCTTTCATGTTCTAATCTCATACTTTGACAAGTGAAGAGGAAGCCACTGAGCGTGCAATTTTCGCTGCTTCAGCTTCAGTTTCTGTTCCTTTTACTGTTACCTGGTGATTTTGTGTTATTATACGTTAAATCCTGTTTTCAATCAGAGAGTTAGAAGAAGACGTTTTTTTTTCGTGGAACCTCAATGAGACATGTTGCGCCTTCTCCATCCCAAGATATTGATTTGGCAAGACCTTGCATCACCTATTAATTTTAGAGCTCAATGTTAAGTCCAGCTTATGAACCTATTACAGCAAGAACACACATTACCGCATCAAGGCATGCCTGAAGCTGCACAGCTTCCTTACAGTTCAAAGAAGATATAAAAGGTGATCCAGATAGCCCGCTCGCCAAAGCAATGACTGTGTCGTTAGTACTCGTGTCCCCATCTACCTATAAGACCATGCTTTTCATTAATCACAGCCTGGAGGCTGAAAAACAATCCAGTTACAACAATGTTTGGAACTTTGTAACTTACAGTGATCTGGTTAAAACTTCGGTTTACTGCAACCTTTACCATCTTTTTCCATGTATCACTTTCAACTAGAGCGTCTGTTGTGATGACCTGAGAAACATTTATATATAGAGAGCGAGAGAGAGAATTGGCAACATCAATGTGTATTTCTTAAGGCTATGCGGCTAAAAGAAAGAAGAAGCTAAAGAACATACACCAAGCATAGTTGCCATATTTGGATGGATCATCCCAGAGCCTTTTGCCATACCCCCAACTCGAATTGTGGTTCCTCCGACCTGAGCAGTTTCGAAACATTGTAAAAATTTATGAAACTGTAAGGAAGAAACAGTGAACATACAACTTTCTTTCTTAAACTTACCTGTGATTCAACAGCCACGCTCTTGCTTACAAGATCCGTTGTAGTGATTGCTATAGCAGCAGAATCTGCCCTGTATATATCAAATTTGATTTGGTTTAAAAAGGATGTCTATAGAAAGTGAAGACAGTGTGACCTTTAACAGCTGAAAGAGACAAGAAGATTACTGTTTAACAGAGTCAGACATCGAGCTGACTAGTGTTGGAAGTGCTTCGAGAAGCTCCTTCTGCAAAACGTTATTGAGATCGTAGAGAGTGAGAAACACAAGCGACACAAAGTTACCATACAACACTTACGTTTCTACCTTTTTAATCCTGTGACCAATAACACCAGTTGACTCAATAAGTACTTCCTCTGGATTCACTTTAAGTAGCTGCAACAATATTAAAGAAAGATATAAAGTTTGAAGGAGACACAGGAAGAAAAGACACCAAGACATACCGTGGCAAGAGAACCAACACAATCTAACATATCTTGATAACCAGCATCACCCTGAAAAAAAGAAAGAACGATCTCAATCCTTAATACATATAAGTTATAACTATAAAAGTTAGGACTACTTCAAAATCAAATAAATTAGCTCCTTAACAACATAGCTATAGACCACTAATTATTGAAAAACCTATCTTACCGTAGCTGCATTGGCTTGACCGGCATTAATCAACACTGCACGGGCCTGAAAGATATCAAAAACTTACTGAATCAAAGCTCATAAGCACAAAATGATTTGGTTCAAATCTGAATGAATTACCGTTTTGGAAGTCTCAAGAACCTTCTTGCAGTAAACTACAGGAGCAGCAGCAACCACATTCATTGTAAACACCCCTGCAGCAACAGCATCGACATCACAGGAGACAAGAGCGAGATCAGGCTTCTTCCCTGAAGCTCGTAAACCAGCATACATACCAGCAGCTTTAAACCCTTTAGCAGCTGTAACTCCACCAGCTATCTAAACCAACAAACAAGAACAAAAGATTCAATCTTTAAAACTTTTAAGAGATTCAAGAAAATATCAAAAACCTGTTTCCACGAGCCTTGAGGTAGAGAGATAGGAGCTGCTGATATGTTACTAGACGACGTCTCTTCCGTGGTGGTTGCCATTGCAAACACTCTTAATTCTCTCCGAGGAGATGCCACAAAGCTCTGAAACATGGAAGGAGGAAAAAAGCTCGAAAGTGTTAAAACTTTTCTTGTTTATTGGCTACCAATCAATCACACGCAGAGAGTGAGGAGAGTGAAAGAAGAGACCTTAGGGGAGAAGAAATGAGGAAGCTTGAGGGAGGAGAAGTTAGTATGGTAACATGAATTCATCTTCTTATCCTTGTTGCCTACAATCGATCCGAGTTCGAGATCAGGAAGCTTTTGCAGATTTTGATTTTAATTTGTCTTGTTCTACTTTTTTTTTGTCTGAAAAAAAAAAACAAACCTTAAACCCTAGAGACCAAACGCCGTTTTGCTTAATCCAGTTTTTTTTTTTTAATTGTTATTTTTTGCCGCCGTTTTTTTTAAGTAATCTGCGGTTGGCAATTTGTTATTGATAAGGGAATGGATTGTTGTTGGCTTTTGTTAAAAGGACAAAAAGCCAAACCACTTTGGATTTTTTTTTACACCACTCAACCCAATAGGTTTTATTGGTTGTGAAACCAGAGATCCTAAGGAAGATTGCGGCTCTTTTCTCCAGGTCTTGCAGGATCGGCAAAGATCACCCAACTGTCCAAGAACTTTGCATTCATTCATTCATTCCTCAGCTTTCTCTGCATCTCTCCTACCGTTGCTTATGTTAGCAAACCCGAAAACCCTTTGGTCTCTCGGTCTGTGACCACTGTAAGCTCTCGCTGCAGCACCAAAAAACTTACAAAATCTTGTGACTTACACCATCCACAAGGAGCTTCCCAAGAGGAGCAAACCAGAGGAATAACAACTCAAGGCCATTAAAGATGTAGTCTTCATAAAGTAAACAAGTTATAGCGCCATCCAGACAGTCCTTGAAGCAATCCACAGCTCAGAGAAACAGCTATATTTCCATATATTTCGAGGCTTGTCATTGTAATGAATAAGGAATACCCAACAAACACAAAGACAATGCTCAATAATCTCCAGATTCATCATCACAAAAACGGGAAACTGGCAAATGGGTATCTAAAAGGCACAATTATCAACCAAATCTTACATCACGTTTCCACAACTTAACAAAAAATTACTCTGTAATAAGGCCCATGCTTTATTTTCTACAAGTCTACAAATCCTTGTGACGGTTCTATTTATTTGTTTTTTTTTTTCTTTTGTCTTTTTACAAACCTGGAACTGTTCTGGGAACTCCTTTGTCAACAACCTACAATCTATTTTCAAAACATTACAAAAAGAAACCAAAAGCCCCCAACAAAAGAGCAGAGCAGAGCACCAAAAAATAAAAGAAGAGGAAAGATCCGAATAACAAAATCCAGACGAATCTCTATAGATCAGATGAGAGTTGCTGATTCTGATGAACTCTTCGGTACTTTCTTCTCCAGCATTGATGTTCCTTTGAAGACTGTAAGCTGCACTTCCTTTTGGTAATTCTGCAACTGCAAAACATTAATGTGTTTGTTACCATATTAGATAATCAATACTTGCTAAAACCTCGTGACAAAAAAAAAATATACTTGCTAACCAAATATACATTCATATGCATTCCACACCAATTTTTAAACTAATAATGATCCGAAAAGAAAAGTTTCACTTACTTGCTGCTCAGTCATCTTTGTAAATCCAAACTTATTTGTCCATATAGACTCGGCTTCTTCAGCTGCTGGAAGGACCAGGTTCTCAACATTTAGAGAAGAAAGAAGATTCTCCACACAAGCAAACAGCCCTTGGAAGTAGCCCTACATACCATTTTCACAATAATAAGTTTTTAATCCATATATCAAAAAGAAAAAAAAAATAGGATGAACAGAAGCTTTACCCTTCCTTGGTACTCTCTGCTTGTGGCTACCATAGGAAGTTCAGCAACTTGCTGACCAAAAATTCTCAGCAGAGCAGCAGAAACAACAAGAGAACTATACGCGCACCATGAGAAAAAAAACAATTAGCATAGGAAACAGAGAAGTTGTCGGAGAAATCAACAAAAGGAGAAAATGCATTAACAGCAGAAAACATACTTTACGATCAGGACCAAACAGTACATTCCTCCAAACTCCTGCCCTGATATATTTCTCCTGCAAGTAAGAATGACATGACATATCAACTACTGTCAAACATAGCTGTTGTATCAGAGTTTATCACGTCATAACTTACCCATACACCATGACAGGAATGAGATCACGACCAGACTTTGCAACAATAGGATCAAAACATTCCTAGAAAATTAGAAAGAGAAGAATTAGGCAACATGTTTGTTCTACGTATATCAACGTCAAATATGAAAAGAACATCTCTAACAGGTAATAACACAAGAGATAGAAGGAACACATCTGAAGTCAAGACATACCCTGAAGATAACAGCCGCTCGTGAAAGCAAAGGCAGATGCTCTGGGTATCGACTTTTTCCACTCAGAATCCTCCATTCGACTGTATCCCCATCCTCCGTAATTATTCCCTTTTCTCTGTCTTTTCTGCGTATCATGTCTGACAAAGGCCCAGGAATAGTTTGTGGCCCACATGAAACAGAACTCTGAACTGCCGTGTGAATCCTGCTGCAGCCGTTACAGCAAAACCATTTCTCTTGCGGGATTTCCTGCAGCATTAAGAGAAGAAATTGAGAAAAGCTGAGTGACCTCGTGTACAGAATCCAGAAGGAAACAGCCTTACGCAACTTACTTTTAAATCACATAGCCCATTCTCTCTCAGACAACCAACATGGTACTCTTTCTCACACTTCAAAAGAAATGAAGAGCACTGTCAGAAAATGCTAAACTGGCAGTGGGAAGTGTTTGAATAAAAGAGATCAGGAATCAAGAGAGTACCTGGTCACATAGAATAACAGTCCGTTCATCAAATACTCCGATGCTAAAATCATGGGACCTATCAAACATAAAACGAGAGTGAAACACAGTAAGCAGTAAGCACCACAACATATATATATCGAAAGTGACACCTTATTCTGCCTCACAAACAAAAAAGAAATAATCCACATGTAGATTATAAATCATGAACAGTAACCAAAACTGCCTATTGCACATGCATGTAGAGATATTTCACAACTCTTATCTTAAATTCCATACGAGAGAGTTGACTATAGGTATGCAACAAACCTGCAGAACACGCAGCCTCCAATTTCGCTTTCTGGAGCTTTAACGACTCTCGACAGTCTTATAAGTATAGACTTAGAGTTGCCAGAAGGACCGGTGGCAGTAGCCTTTTTACTAGATACAGATCCATCACTGCAGCTAGAACAGTACCATGTACCTTCAGGCATAGACTGGAATTTTAAACAAGCTGCACATGAAAAGAGATATGAAGGATCAGAAGCAGAGAATAACACGAGAACTGATTTCTAAACTGAATTAACATCCACATATCTAATCTCAAAAGAAAATGTTTAAGAGAGCTAGTTTAAACTTCCATATGCTTCTTGATTGAGGAAATCACTTAGAAAGCGGTGCTTCAGCAACTTTCAGTAATATAAAAGAGTAAACGAGCAAGAGTAATATACTACGTCAATATCTTACCAGTATGGAATGCTTGAGGGCATCCAGCACAAAGCAGCAAATCTCCACCATCCCCACATATAGAACACATGTCATCACTGTCACCGGTTGTGATGACTTGTCCATTTGCCAATGATAAGGCTATATCATGCAAAGACAATCCGGAAGAGATAAAGATATGACGATAACTGCAAAAGATAAAAGCACTTCAGATACGCATTCCAACAATTAGGAAAAAAGCTAACATAATTAGGATAACTCACGGCTGTCGTCTACCAGCCATTCCAGCATGTGCTTCGAATTGCGAAGGACTAATCTGTTGTACATAAATACATAACAAATTAGTAAAACTATCTCCGAATTTCTAACTGAGTCTAATGGTCATTCCACATAGCCACTAGATCTACCTCTTACCTCTTTGTTGCAACAGCTACATACAATACCATTTCCTTGCTTGTAACCGGCTAGTAGTTTCTGTAGGGAAAGCAATTGTTAACTAAGCTGAACTGAATGTCAGTGAAAATAAGCAGAACAAGTAATTTGTCTGCAATAACAAACCTGCGTTTTCACATAGTAGGCCAATTCAGTCCCGTCCGGTAACCCATTGGGCATAAACACCAACCGATGTAAATCATTGTCCCTGGAAACATAGTATTTGTATCTTTTTCAACAATGTCGAATGGTATTTACAGATTTACATGCTTACAGAAAACACAAATGAGGATGATAACAAAACAACACAAACCTTTTTCTATTGCTTCCTTCAGAAACTTTCTTATGGCAACCCGTACCAGGTACATGAGAAGTAACCCTACAGTATTAGCGACCAAATCAATTTCTACACCTCCTTAGATAATTGTCCCTAAGGACCATAACTGTCACCTAGAGTACTAACAGTAATTAGTTGTAAATGAAACTTTTCTGAAACACATACTTCTTCTTTGCTATTCGCTTCGGCTCATATAATGCGTCTGTTTCATATGTTTTCTCTCGATAATAATGGCTTTCCAGAGAGTATGGGGTAAGGCTCTGACTTTCATCATGAGATTGACCATTATAACTGCAGTTTTCAACAAGAATCACTTTTAGAATCACAAAATGGTAGGTTTACATCAACCAAAATATATTAAAACAGAACACGTAAGTCACTACAGGGTCCTAGTATCACTGATTATCATTTCTAAATAAAATTCCCCAATACAAACCAGTAGCAAAGGTGATATTACCTGACAGGGGAATGTTCCATGATACGGTTCCTGTCAGAAATACTATTACTCTGTTGGAAACTTGCTGAAAGAAAAAAAAAAGGACAACAGATCAGGCTCAGCACTTCTATTACTTAACAAAACTTAAATAATTGCAAAAGAAAAAACTACGGTAGATGAACCAACAATCAAAACACCTGGCCATCACCTTTCCAAGCTTGTAAACCCTCCTCACACAGAGCAGAACCAGCTACACTCCTAATCACTTCCTCGAAAACACCGTGAGGAGCAGTCTTCAGTTCTTGAACTATGCTATAAACCGCCCTTCCATTCTCCAAAAATATATGATTATTAGGATGCTTACTTTTCCCACCAGCATGCTGCTCAAACTCATACGCACTTAAAACCCTTTGCTACATACCAAAAGTACAAAACTTTCTTAAAAAAACTGATCATAGAAACAAGAAACACATAAACGATAAGAGAAAAAAAAACTCACTTTCGAGAAATTGCAATTATTACAGCCACACAAATACCCACCGGAATGGATTGTCCCCTGAAGCTCTCTCTGATTAAAAGTCGTAAAAGTTATAACTCACTTCCAATAACCAAAACATCTACAAATAAGATAAAGTTTACGACTTTTTACCACACGTGGGAGTGAGATATACTTAACCGGAGCACCATCAAGAATCCCCGTCGCCAAAAGCTTCTTAACATTAGATGGATAGCTACTGCCGGAAGCAACAATCTTCTTCCTCGGCAACTTCTCATCATCACATGCATGATGATCCTTAACCACAACAACAGGAGGCAAATCATCAAAACCCTTCTTCTTCTTCTGTTTACTCAACTTAAACTTGATCCTCGTGACACCAGTGGAGCTAAGATGCTTCGGAATCTCCAACACAAACTGCTCCGAAGCCTCGTTTCCGCTCCTTTCCTCGTCGCTCACAGTCTCTTCGGACCCAAACTCCTCACCAGAACCGGATTTAACCGGTTGCGTTGACACGTCGCGGAACCGGGAGGTGTTTTCTAACGGAGAGGAGACCGGGTTCGAAATCTCCGAGACGATGTCGTCGTTGGAAGGCTCCTTCGCTTGTTTCTTGTTGGGAGACGACTCTTCTCCTTCTCCATCGACATCGACACAGAGACGATCTCTTTTAAGCTCGATTCTCTCCAGAGAAACGGTTCCTTCTTCTGCTTCTTCTTCACCTCCCATGCTCAACGCCGCACGATTGCATCCAATAGAGATAATACTGAGAACTGATTTGGGTAAAAAAGTTAGATCTGAAACATTTGGATTTTGAATCTAATCGATTCCGGAAACGATTAATCGAAGGACGGATTGTGCGGATCTGGAGATGAAGGAAACGAAAGGAGAAGGAGAGGGGATTAGGGTTAGGGTTACGGCTAGGAAGATAAGATGGGAGGGAGAGAGTAGAAGGAACGTGCAAGGCGGCAACGAACCAGAAAAAAAAAAAAACTAAATAAGCTTTCTTCCCGGTCCACAAATTTTACTTTTCAAAGCTTTTTTAGAGAGATGAGAGAGAAAAAAAGAAACAGAAAAACTACTGGATATTTTTTTTTATAGGTAGGTAAATCTTTTTTTTTTAATTAGACGACAAAATAAGAAGAAAATAAACAAATATCAGAATTTTAAAAAAGAAACAAAAATAGATAAATGCAGAACAGTCCTTTAGAGTTTTCATTATTACACTTTGTACCTGACTTACTTTATAAGTTATTAAAACTAATTGATATCAGTAATAAATCATTTGCATTGAATTTCAGTTTTTTAGAAATGATGATTATATGTAAACTAGATTTATGTCGGTTATACGAAATTGAGTAGAAATAAATTGGATTATTTATTTTGTAAATTTGTATTGGGGTGATGGAGAAGGAACTTCCGGAGAAATTAAAAATATGGAGACTGTTTTAGAAATTTTGAAAATTCTGGGGTGACTTTATGTAAATTTTAAAGAAAAAGGGACACCAATAGGAAACAAAATCGTGGCAGTTGGTGATGACATCTTGGAAGAAGGTACGAGAACAGCAACTCTCACTCTCAGTGCACTTTTTTATTTTTTTATTTGTTCGCGGTCTTTTGTATGGGCCTTTGAGGGGAGAATAAGCCCATTAATTTAGGCCATACTAGAGGCCTAGATTATTATAAACAAACACTGCACGCAAAGATCATTCTCATGGATTGGGTTATGTGCATCCTTTATAATAACTTTGAAAGTGGTCTCTTCATATTCATTTGGTAAAAATAGTTGATACTGTATATAGCAAAACATTATTATTAAAATTTTGTAATTTTATTCTGTTCTCACAACTTTATTCGTTGCATATTTTTCTAATTCTAAAAAAAAAATGTGATGATCAAAGATAATTTTTTTTGCGAGGATAAAAGATTAATGTAATTTTCGGCTAGAAAGCTTAGATGTGGTTGAACAAGACAAAAGTTTAGATGTTTAGTTGGGGATAGAATCGATGAGTTTGACACTGAAGTCCCAAAGTTTATCGGCGAGAGATTTGTCTGTGGCGAATTTGCTCGGAGTGGTGATGTTACAATCGGCGAAATACTTTCCGGTGACACCTTTCAGACTAGGATGAAGTGCTACGTAACATGTTGTTGCTGCTCCCTGAGGTATGTTTTTCCACAAGAAGAAACTCATAGCCTTGAAGACCGCTGAATTAAAGTAAAATGTCGATTTAAAATCGATTTAAACTTAAAATGTAAAAATGTTGTGATAGATAACAGGTACGTACTCATTCCTAAACCGGAGTGACGAAAGAGATTAGTGGTGACAAGTCCAGGGTGTACGGAGTTTACTGTGATGTTCACACCTTCTTCCTACATCCCCAAAAACATATTAATTTTGATTAATTACTTATATCCATCATTGTGTTATGTGTTAACATCGCATTTTATTATTGACTGATATCACTAGGAAACAAATGTTACCTGTAGTTTACGAGACAGTGCATTGGAATGCAATAAGTTTGCCAGTTTTGACTGTCCATAAGCCTTCTTCTCTGAATACCTACATCAATGATAAGCATATAATACTGAGCTTTAAAGTAAATTTAAATTTTGGAGTAATTAATCAAAGTAAAATTTAAGTAAACATACTTATCAGGGTCGTTGATGCTGTCGAAGTTGATACCTTGGGGGTAAGTATAAGTATGAGCAACAGATGACAGATTCACTATCCTTCCTTCGATTCCACTTTCTCTAGCACTACTCTTCATCTTGTCCAATAGCAGATTCGTCAACAGAAAATGACCTGGAATTCCATTTTGTAATATATGGAGTGGTTAATTTTTATCGCCTATACTCATAAATGAATATTAATTAAATGGTTTTATCTTTGACAAAAAAAAAACCTAGCATATTTCTTTAGAAAATCATCATGTTATAACATGATGTTCTAACATATATATATATACATATATAGGTATTCAAAAAATATACTATAAAGTTTTTTTAATATGTTGCATTTATTTTATTCGTGAAACTTGTTCGTATAGATCACATGGGGACCATTTGGTGACACAAGGCAGTACATATACATGATTTTCCTTAGATACTGACAGAACTGAAGTACATGTAAACATATGATGATGTTTCCTAATATATTACCCTTTTAGGAATTCATGTATCTGTAAGTTTGTTTGGTAAAAAAAAATTTGTTAACAAATTCACGTTTATATACATATGATTTACCTTGAATCATATTATAGTATATATATAGTTTATTTATTAGAATATATATACAGAAAATGAAATCTTACCAATGTGGTTTGTTGCGAACTGTGACTCAATCCCATCTTCAGTGAGCTGGAAAGGACAAAACATAACACCTGCATTGTTTCTAACATTTCATAGACAAAACACAAATAAAAATATTAGAAAAACCTCAAAATCTTATTTACTGCAAAAGAAAATCAAACTAGATCATATATGCATACATGAGTATGTTGAGAGGGAGGTTAAGGGCAAGAAACTGATGGACGAAGGATCTGACAGACTTGATGGAAGAGAGATCGAGTTGAAGATAATCAATACGTGCATTAGGGTTCATCTTAAGAATCATCTCTTTAGATTCATTAGCAGCTTTTGTGTTTCTTGCGGCGATAATCACATGAGCACCTCTCATTCCTAACACTCTTGCTGCTTCCAGTCCAATCCCACTTGTTCCACCTTTTTCATATTTTTGTACCAATTCAAGATATTTTGCACGCAAGACGAAAAGATGGTATAAAATCAATGAGTACACAAATAATATTCGTATTATTGTACCGATGTCGTACAGTAGCTAATTGTCTCCCTTTCAACACATCGTGTATTTATTACATGTGATAAACTGCTTAAATACAATTTTAAATAAAATTTACACGTTGGCCAAAAACTATATTACCAAAAGAATTATCAATTTCAGTTTTTTACTCTAACTAGTTTGATACCTATTATATATTTATATTAACTTTAAGTTGCATTGTATATTGTCTTAAGAATAAACTGAACTATTTTTTGTAGAATTATCAGACCACTAGTATTTACTAATATACGGTTAGGTATCATACTCAATATAGTTTTGAGACAATTTATAAATGATTTGATTTTAAGGAATTTTAGATGAATATTAGTGAATTAATCTTTTTATTCTATTTTAAACATTACTCACTGGAGTTTATGTTATATATTTAACAAAAAATCTCCGATAAGTATATAAATTCATAATAATATACTTAAGTTTCGTTATTTAGATATTTTTAACAACAATGTATTTAAAGAATATAAATTCAATAGTTATATATTTCAAATAGTGTATAAAATTAATATTTAAAGTATTTTTATCATATTAATATACTTTACTACAAATGTTATATTGGACTTACTTCTCAAAGACTATCACTCAAGATAAAAGGAATAACTTTGGTGTTTAATTTGTAGAGCTGGTACAATATGTGTGGTTGAAAGTGGACACAAACAAAAACACAATTCCCAACTTTCTCGAAATTCTAAATTTAGTTGAATCGTCAAGTTTGACTTTTCTTCCACAGTAGTCATTTTAATTTCGTTCGTTTGTATTAATAGTATTATCTTTTTGGCATACAGTCTTCCACGACAACAAGACAACTCATTCTATTTAGCAATCTTTTTTCACGATTTGCAAAGAAAATGTAAGATGAGATTAGAAAAGAAAAAAAGAACCTGTAATGATGGCAGTGAGATGATTGGCATCAATGGACTGAGTGACATCTTCAGCAGTTGAAGCTGATCCAAATCCACTCTTTCCTGCTTTTCCTGTCACCATTCCATATATTCCCATGATCTTTCTCTCTCTATTAAACCCTAAAAATATTGCTGGCGAAGAAGAAGAAGAGGAACAATAAAAATGGAGAAGCAGAGAAGATTTAAGAGTTTAACAGATGGATGGTAAGGAGCAAAGGAGAGGCTGTTTGGCTATAAATAGTGTCACGCGTGAGTAGATAGAAGAGTTGATGTTGACAGGTAGTACGCAAAGTTTCTAGTCGACAGCTAATCAAAATTAATGCTAAGATCTCGCTAATAATTAGCGAAGTACATACATTTACCAATATAGTAAGAAATCGATATAAATCTCAAGATGCCTTGACTTATACTGTCTTCGGCACGTTACTTTCCAAAAGTTGAAATTAAGGTGATGGATAGAATGATGCCTTAATTATTCATGTTTTTACGTTTAAAAAAAATATGAATTTGATTTTTTAGTTATTTATAATATGCATTTACTTTCTCATTCTTTTCAATTCGTTGTCAGCTCCATCATTGGCAAAATGTCGTGTAGATGCCGATTTATGATCAACTTGACCAACCGTCTTTAGCAGCAAATTGACTGCAACATATTATATAATATAGGTATATGCTATCAACTTATCATATGGTGAACTGATGATTTTATCTCAGGCTAGCAGACACATACTGTTGTGAAACGTATCATGACTTATGGGTTATGGCATGAATCATGACTTATGGGTGGGTTCTGGCATGAAACCGGAGTAGGCTACGGTTAATGAAATATTGAAATGTAAATTATAAGAAAGAGTAAAAGAATACCAACATTTATAACCAAAAAAAAAAGATATTCGAATCTAAAAAAAAAAAGAGCTGAAGACTAATAAACTAGAAAAGATTAGCAAGCTCATGAGACCGCCAAACAATCGATACTGTGAAAACAAACAAACAGACCTGCCACTCTCTGCTCTCTATCTCTTTGTGACAGAGCACGAAGACCACAAAGGCTTTACAACTTCTTTCACCATTTCACATGTGGATGGAGAGAAGAGTGTTATTACACGATTGTATCGACACCAAAATGTTCAATACTTGATTTGTGCTCCCCGCTAAAGAATACCTCTACCTGTCCAAGCAGTGTCTGATTATTTCCCGTTGTGACCTACAAATTTCTTATCACCTGCAGCACTCTGACAATAACCATCATCATCTTTATCATCATCCCAACCAGCCCAACCACCATCATCACTATCCTTAGAAGTCGACACCTTTGGTGCTGCTTCCTTCTTGGTACAATTCTTCTCTTCTCTACAATCGTCCCAAGAACTCGAATTACCATAATTGTTTCGGTGAACACTTTGTGACACTTTTGGTGCTGCTTCCTTTATGGTAGTATTGCTCTCTTCTCCCCAGTCATTCCAAGAACTCGAGTGACTGTAATTGTTTTGGTAACTTGATGATGAATTAGTTGCTCCTTTGTTCTGGTAGAAACCGTTACCCTCACTCTTATTCTGTTGATTCCAGGTTGATACTTCTTCTTTAGTGAACTCTTCAACCTTTTGTGAGGCAATAGTAATAACTCCTTTCATGATCCCCCATGTTCTTCTGTCCTATCTCCGTTGTCTTACTCGCAACAACATTAACAGTCTCACTCACCGTTTTATCTAAGCCAACTTCTTTCACCTGCAACGAACAAAAGATTTTTCATCTTAAATTTAACTTCACTCTACAAGATTCTCGCTAGTATTTGGTAAAGCAAACACGCATAGAAAAAACTAGGAGAGCATCCAGCATTACGCAGCACTAACCATAGTTTTTTGTTGATCTAACTATACGAAACTAACCGATTATGCAGCTAAACAAGACACTAGTTTTGAGTAACACTACATTGTCGGAAAGGAAAGCTACCAGCTTGAATTCAAAACAAAACGTGGGTTACTGGACACAACCTAAGCCAAGCCAGTCTAGCACAAGACAGAACAGAGACTGATATAAGAAGTACCTTTGAAGTGAACTCCATGGTTCCTGTCTGAGCAACATTCGCAGCAACAAGAGACAATCTTCCAAACCCCAATTCGCAATAAAAAAAAAAAAAAAACAGAGATAAGTCTCTCACTCACCAAACTCAAACAATCATAATCTCATCACTATCAAAAAGCATCAAACTTTACCTCAGACATAACAGAGAAAACATCGCCACTCTGATGATTGATTCTCGGAGCTAAACCAGGATTCGAACACCCTAAAAGACTCATCTTTATCCCAATCATCCCACCCTTTTGACAAAGGAGGCTTTTTTGTCATAACAACAGGCGGATCCTTCCACTGTCTCCCTTCAGCAAACGCCTGGATCCGAACTCGATACACTGAAGCCGCGTTGGAGTGTTCGTATCGTAGTCGTCGCGTTGCCGCCATTATGTCTGGTCCTCCGATCACCGACTAAAAATGTTAGATCATGGGTTTCACTGTGTTATCTGTTTATGAGTTTAATATTTTTTAGATTGAATAAATACTTGCCTTCATCGCCTGTATTTTCTTTTTATTATCCTGCTAATTTAAATCAGTCATTTTTTTATTTTTGAACGACAAATTAGTTATCTTATTATATCAGAAAAACAAGGGTTGGATCCAACCGGAATCGAACCGGTGCCTCCCGACTGCGTTGGGGATTCTACCACTAAACTATGGACCCATTTACCAATCTTTACCTACACTAATCTTTTTTTGTATTTATGATAAACGTGATAGCCTTCTTTGCAACACAATAAATTCGTTTCCAGTGATTAATTTTATGGAGATGTAGACAAACAAGTCACAGATTACAAAAAAAAAAAATGATCTATAAAGCCCAGTTAGATGCTTAATTCATCTCAAATTGGATCACCTTCTCTAGTCTCAAACGTTACATTATAGTGATGACTAGCTAGTGTTGATACCTCTACTCAGAACAACTTCTTACTTGTCGATTTTGATTTATCATGAAGCTCTTACTGCCTCTAATATCTGTTAAAATTCTCTCAGCTACTATCTCTAACTACCTCAGATAGATTCTTTGAATTCTTCTATGAATCTTGATCAAGAAACAATAAGTTCCCCTTAATTAACGACACAGAAGCAAATAGACAGTCAATTTCTAAGAGACATAGACAAGCTCAAACAATCATAGAAACATTTTTCATTCAATTAAAAACAACTTAAAACATTCAGATTAAAACCCTAACAAACACCTTAGAGAGAGAGATCTTAAAACCCCCAAATCACCAAACCCTAGTAAAAACACAAATCGCGATTTACAAAACCACCCCAAATTCAATCCCCCTTCAACCACCAAATCCATACAAAGTCCTTCCCTGCCTCTTCAACGCGTACACAACATCCATCGCCGTCACAGTCTTCCTCCTCGCGTGCTCAGTGTAAGTCACAGCGTCACGAATCACATTCTCGAGGAAGATCTTGAGAACGCCACGTGTCTCCTCGTAGATCAAACCGCTGATACGCTTCACACCGCCTCTACGAGCGAGCCTCCTAATCGCAGGCTTGGTGATTCCTTGGATGTTGTCACGGAGAACCTTCCTGTGCCTCTTGGCTCCTCCCTTTCCCAATCCCTTTCCTCCCTTACCACGCCCAGACATTTTCTTATGCTTGGATGGATTTTTGAGATGAGAGAAGGGTTTAGAGATTGCGATGTGTAGATCTGGGAGGATGGTGAGAGGTTTATATAGGAGTGATAGGAGCAGAGAGACTTGTGTTTTTCAGTTTTCGGGGAGGATACGGTCCGTTGGATTTTATTTTAAATCTGACGGTTGTAAATACTGATCCGCGTGATTTTATTTTATTGGCTAGCGGGAGTGACATAAGATAGCTACCGTTGGATTTTATTTAAATCGACGGTTTTTAATATCGATCCGCGTGATTTTCATTCATTGGCTAATGTCTGTGGGTGGTTGGATCTATTAATATAATCTGTGAGGAGGAAAAACGACGTCGTGGAGTTATAACCAGGGAGATGAAGAAAAGGCGCGGGAAAAATCAAAACTACATATTTTTCATCGTTGAGAATTATTTTTCAGCTTGCTTCTTGTTCTCACGTACGCATCGTTCGTCGCCTCTATTGACCATGTCAGTGCTCCATTATGCAAGTATTATTCTCCATCTTTCTAGTCATCTTTCATGTATAACTGTTGGCAGTGTGGGACATGAACATGGTGCACTCTCCAGATGCACTTCGACATCTCTTGCTTGATCTCAATCATTGATATGATTCACTTTTTTTGCTTCCAACTGTATATTAATATATTATTATGTTAGTCTAAATGAGAGTATAAAGGGCTACACATTTGATTGAAAGTTATAATCAGCACTCTAAACACATCTAATCTGGTGGACTAGTAACCAACGTCTCTCTTTTTACGTCAACATAAGATCGTTGTCTCCGAGATGTGGCCGTAGACACACCTGCACCTCATGCTTATTAGAGTGTTTGAGCTCAATTAATCTGTAAAGTGTTTGTTACAAGTATTTATACTACTCATATACAACCGTTTAATCACAATCTACTTAACCAACTAAACTGGTATAACATTATAATTCCAATAATGCTCTTCTGGTCCAGCTCTTAGTTTTGGCACAAGCATCTCAAGAACCGAGCCTGGTCCATCATAATACGATTCGAATTGATAATAGCACTTCTCTTAACAACCTTTCCTGGTGGGCAGTGATGCACAGAGGCTAGATCAGTTAACTTGAATGTTCTATCATGTCTCTTGTCCTATAACCATAAAGAACACTCCTTTATCTCCAATTAGATGAAGGAAACTCCTAACAATGGAACCGTATAACATAAAGTTCCCTACTTTACCACATAACTAGAGTGAACGCCTGCCTTGGATGCAACCTTGGAAAGTTTCTGCCGTTACTTAACGGTGACGATTAATGTTTGTTTAGATAAAATATTAAATCTACCATATATATTCCTGTATATTTATTTACATTTTTTCATATATATATATATATATATATATATCATTTTTTCATGCTTTTCGGAATAAGTTTTTTATTCCACAAACTCAGCAACGTTATTTATAGTCTTTTAAATTTTTATAGCCTTTTTTTTTGTTTGCTTCAAATGGCAAATATCAACTGACTTGTACGTACCTACTTCTGCATTCTAGTTGTGGAACTTTGATGATCTGAGGCTCTGAGCAGCAGCACTGCACACGATCCTTTTTGGGAACTTGATATGTTTTTTTTTAAATCTAGTTTTACCTTTTCAGAACATGTCCTTCATGTGGCTATCTATGTATGTGGTTAATGTCTCTACCCCTTGTACAATGTTACTTGAAAAAAATCCGTATTATATTCTGGTAGTGTGTTTCTTAAGCTAGCCCCATCATAGACCAATTCTGATAAATATATTTTCGAAGATCAGCTATTGATTAATTTTATGTTCAACATTCCCAAGCTATAACGTCTTTATTTATATATACGATGGCGAAGGACTTGACCCTGTTCCATTCAAAACATATCACATCTTTGTTGTCATAGCCTTCCTAATAACTTGCTCTACATAATCAAACTCTTTATCCTAACATTTGTAGAAATGGATTTAATAGACCTTTAAAACATTTATAACAACTTCTCATGATTTTTTGTTTTTTTTTGTAAATTCTACTGAGGCATACTAGATTCTTACACGTCCCTCATGTAAGCCAAACATTTTCTGAATTGTGCAACGTTGAAATTTATTGTTTGTCAAACTTTCTATATGGTTTTTCTTGTGCTATGATTTAACTAAATCAATAAGTCTATAACCAGTCGTTTTAGAGAATCATATGAGACTATTTGAAAATTTGGTTTATATGATGACTTCTAAACACCTTGATGGTGACCCCCTCTGTAGAACCTCACACACACATAGCCACTGAATTTGAATCAAACAGATTGCTTTTGAAACTAAACGATTTTTCTCCGTAGAGCTCTCTTCAGCTTTCTCTTGCTCTGTTTTATCATTCATGGGTCAAATGTTTCCCTTCGGCACCTGTTGCAAGTTTTGTAATGGCCGAAGCAACATGTCCTGCAATATTACAATGTTAATTACGTGTCTGGCTTAGTCTCCAATAAAGCTCAGATTACTAGCCCATTAGCAGACGACCGAAACCCGTAGACACAAGAGTCATTATATTAATAAAATGATTTATAAAAAGTAGAAATAATCTTGGTGGCACCGACAACCACCAAATGTCCAACCACTACTCCCATGTAACAATCATAACAAAACACCAAAGAACTGAAGAAAAGAAGATCCTGTTTTTTCTTTAATTGTATAAAAAACAATTAGAAGATAGACAGAGAGATGCTATCATAGTCAAAAGAATCAAATGGTCATACTATCAAAATTATATAAAACTATGTGGCTAATAAAAGAAACATAGATATTTTCTCACGGGAAAAAAAAAGAGTTCTGTAATGACACGATAGATACGTTTGGAGTAAAATAATTACGAAAGTGATTGTTGCAGTCTATATTATAAAACATGTGGTAAAGGCTAAAAGCCATCTCCAACTCAAATATAGAGGAAATCTACTAGAGGAAATTTTTTAAAATTGCAGTGACATTCATTGTATTATAAAAGCATGATTTTTTTAATCCATAATTTTAGTTTTTCCAATTTAAATAGAGATAGAAATGGTCTACAAGTGTAATCTATCCCTAGTTGCAAAGTTGTGACATGTTTTATTTTTGTTAATCTTCCCTTAAACAAATATTATATTTGACTATTCGTTGTCGGAAAATAATAATTTGGAAAACAAAACCAAACTTAGTTAGTGAGAAGCACTTTCCATTATTACCTCCCCCCACCAACTTCATATCACAGTAACAATGTTTAACAATGATACCACTACCGACGCCGGAGCCGTCGTGCCGACTTCATCTGCTACAGTTCCCTCCACCATCTTCCCCGGCACAACCATCACTTCCAACTCCACCTTCATCATCTTCGGACCTCCTCCACCGTTCCCAGCTCCTCCTCGGAGCATCGACTTCACTCCTATCAAACTAATCTTCGCCGTCATAGCAATCGTCGCCGTTCCCGCCTTAGTCTACGCTCTTTTCTTCACTACTCCATCTTCTTCTCGCCGCCGCAACTCCTCCTCATCCTCCCGCCGTAGCAGCAGCTCTTCCTCCGACGACACACCTCATGTCACCGTCGATATCACACCGGCCGAGATAGACGCCACCACCACCACCACCGTCACGCCTGAATCCGTAAAGAAATTAAAGAAAGAGACTCATTCAAAGGAGATCGGGAACGAATGCACAGTGTGCCTGTTGGTGCTCGCCGACGGCGAAGAGATCCGACAACTGAGCGCGTGTAAGCACAAGTTCCACGTGTCGTGTATTGAGAGGTGGCTTAAAGATCATCCCAATTGTCCTATTTGCCGAGCAGACGTCGCCGTTAAACAAACCGAAGCAGACGCTAACGTTAACGTGAATCGCAGCGGTGGTGGAAACCGTAGAGTTTCTGCGACCAATAGAGATGACGATTGGCGTCAAGGTCTACCTGATGCTTCTAGTTTAGTTTGATCTATTTTTATTTTTTTTTGTAATTTATTTTTCGGATTTTTGCGATATTTTACTGTGACCATAAACAAATTAAGTTAAATCTAAAAAAAACAAGAGTTCGTTAATTTAATTATTTTTGGCTGCTTTGTAACTCAAACTACAGTGTGTTGTGACGTTGACTCTCGACGACTCGCAGAAACGCGCTACAACATGCTCATCCTACGGCGTATGAAGATCCAATGATAATTGTGCGGGTCGTATTCCTCCACGTGCTGCGTTTGATTTCACTACGTTTTTCTAAATAATAGGAGTATAAAACAATTAAACTCTTTAACACTAACCTATAGGAAACCATCCGGTGTTACTTCCGGTTTAACACTAATCTCTGTTTAACGTCAAGCAGGGCCGACCCTGGACACTGCCTCATGAAACATTTGCAACAGGCCCCCAATTTTATAGGCTCCCAAAAAATAAAAATCCAATTATATTATATATATATATAAAATTTTAATAATCATATACTGTCCACTTCAAATTTGTTTCAAAAGATGTAGACAATTGTTATTTTTTCTGTGAGTAAACTTGTGTCTTATTAGTATTTTGTATTTGAAAGTATTTTTACAAGTTTTAATTTTTGTGATGTTGTATACTGGCCCCCGTTTTCTATTTTGTTTCAGGCCCCCGAAATTTTAGGGCCGGCCCTGACGTGAAGTGGGCTTAGAGTTTTATGTTCCTAATAAGTTATAAGAATCTCCGAGGTTTCCAATCAACCCCATAATACTAAACATGTATGACCAAGGGACATTGATCTCTAATTTTTATTATACGAAAAATAAAATTTATCTTAGCTGATAAACATATTTCTATGGAATTACTCGATTGGGCCTCGACTCACCATATACCCTCAGAATATCCAAAAAAAAGTTGTAGTGTCGCATCTCCATAACAAAAGAAACCTAGTCACTAATATTCTTACCAGAGTCGGAGACAATCACAAGCACGATCGATTTTCCAGATGACAACCAGACGGTAACGACCGTAACACGAGGTTATTACTTATAACCAGTTTGGAATTTTCTTTTCATTAATGTTTTTTTAAAAACCAATCTATTTCTTAAACTAAGTCATATTTAATCGTATATATATATATATATATATATCTTTTTCCATAACATAGCAAAACAAAAAGGTGCATCGTGTGAGTAGCCGCCTCCATGAATCTCTCTCTCACTTTCCACCATCGTCACCACCACTCTTGTTAGAGGTCTGGAGAAACCTTGCTATGTCGGAGTTTAAGTACCACCACCTGAAGAGCAGCTTCTATACTAAGTTCATTATGTATTTTGAACCAATTGACTCTAATATATATTGATATCCCCTATATATTAATTGAGAAACATTTGAAAAGATGTAACCTCAAGTTTGTATTAATTAAAAAGTAACCTTGCTTAGTTGTCAATCAATTAGCATACCAATTAAACTGACGTGGCAGTTTTAGGTTCAATTGAAATTTGCTAGGGAAAAATAATTAGAGACGCATATAACGCATGTAACATAGTTTATATATTTATA